TGCAGCACTGGAACGTTAGCCCGTTAGGCCCCCATTATTAAGCCTGCGTCTGTGCGACTTGGGTGTTATTTTTCAAGACCATTCCTTTACAAAATCCATACAAATTGTACAACCAGAGAAGAAGAATACTCTGCTCCTGGAAACAGTCGGTTTGTATGCTGCTGTTTATCCAACGTCATTTTTGAGGGCCAGTGATGATAAACTCAGACCATAAATAAAATAAATAGGCACGCGCGCCACAGTCACGTACGGGATAAGTAAGCTGTGCCATAGACGCACATGTACATGTACGTACATGTACACGTACAGTACATATGTGCATATACACACTGAAATGACAAACCGTATGAAGGGCGCCCTCTTTAAACTTACCGAAAGGTAACACGCACGCTCACGGCGATTCTCCTTCACCAAATTACGCAGGCGTCAAGGTCATTCAAATGCAACTTGCGGTACTTTAAATAAACTGCACAGAAGTGTAAATATGGTTTGTACTATGAGTTATGTACATTCCCTAAATTTAAAGAAAAAGGTGGGAACGTGGGCTCTGAACATTGTCTGTGCTGATCTCGCTTTTATGAGGGCGCCCCGTTTCATGGGACGAATCATAGAGAACTGTATTTCGTCGCATATTTCTCAAGACGGAACCATTATTTTCACGTCGGGTAAACTTAGAATTTCTAGTTGTTCCGTTCTTTATGTTGAATTATTTAAATGCAGTTTTATATATACAGACGGCATTCGGTTTCTATCCCTTTTTTTTTTGCAGTTCATTTACAAGATTTTACTGCTTCAAACGTTCTTCTTTCGCGCCAAACGACCCTTCACAGCTTCATCACACTACAATTATTACGCAATTCAGTAGCCCCCCGTAAATTGAATATGAATGATTTTTCCTCCGCAAAAAAAGTACGAAAAATATGAAATAAAATTATGAAATAAAAAGTTTAATTTGTTGCGGTAAATTTGGGTTACATTTTGCTACGGAGAATTACTTTTGTCAAATAGGCGACGGCACATGTCCTCGCTTAAAGCGGTTGTGCGGTCTATGGTAGTAAGTAGTCTCCACATACAAAACAAGATAATGCCGTCTCTGACGGATTTTGCTGGACCAAATTAAACGGAGATTTTGTCAGAGAGATGGTTAAAACTAGGCGTTCTTCACCGTTAGAGGATCACGACTATGGGGAGGAGTTCCTGTCTTTGAGTAGCCGAAGGAGTAGGCGACAACCCAGGGCAAATGAGGAGGTATTTCACCACCAATTCTTTGTAGTTCTCGTGACTTTTTGTTCTCACCATCAGTCCTACAGGCGAGGCGATCGGTACGTCAGGCTGTGCACAATTGGCAGTGCGTTACCGAAATGAAGCCGATTTTCATTGTGATAAATCGATATCCGAAATCAATTTTGCTCTGTTTGAAATCCTTCCTAACTTATGTAAGAGAAAACCCGACAGAAGACGCCAAAAATGCAGGAATATTAGCCAACTTGTCGCAATAATACTTAAAGTTAACAGCATGCTGAGTAAAGAAAAAGGTTGTTTGTGTTTGCAGTAGGGAAAGTGACCTTTGACCTTAATTGATGATGTATACAAGGACTTGTTCATCATGCGTAAGAAATAATTCAATAATTCTTTCCAATAGCAGTAAGATATCAAAAAGTTATTCACATTATTTTTGGCCATGTTGGAATTAAATTAAAAACAAAAATTTACCAACCCTGGCCTGGGTTAGCCTAATGAATTTCATAGACTGAGTTGCTTCTTTTTTACACTCTTGAGTCTTGACTGACAGGGTGCATTCCACCAAATGGTTGGATTTCTGTGCACGAGCTCATTAATATTTTGTGATCCCAGGGTTTTTTTTACAAATAATATAGGCCTATGCCATAATCAGGAGGGATCATAGAAGTATTTCTATAAATCCCGAATTTGGGACTGGCAGTTTCCAGTTTGGGATATTTCTTTCACATAAAGCCCCAAATTGTGGGCCTATTTTGGATAGAAGTAGGCGACTTCATTCAGAGCTGAGCGCATAGTTTCACTACTATTTGGGGGTATTTTCAGAGAAAGGCAAATAAAAAAAGTTCGTGGCTTTTCCAATCTTTTTGGACAAGTGAGGGTGCTGTTGCTGTGGTGTAAATGAGGGAAGACACTGTTCTGTTTACCTTTTTTATGTTCAAATACTAAACCTTAAAGTTGCTCTGTGAAAATATTTTTGCTGAAAACCTTTCACTGGCGTATTGCCATAGACATACACGATTTGCAAGGAAATAGACATACGACAGCAAAATAAAAAAATTGCACAAAACATTGTAACATTGAAGTTCAGTGCCTGAGATGTCATCACGGTATGAAAATTCACATACATGTAAGCATTAGAACCAAATGCCTCCATGTTTAGATTAAAATAGAGAACAAAAGTTTAAAATAAAGTTAATTGAAACATAGAGATTCAATTTCAATGTTGTACAATTGATATTACATGTACATGGTCCCTTTAATGCTTGCATTATTGAAAACTGTTGGGTACAAATTACACATGTTTTTATCCTTGCTTAACTTTTAAATGATGTGGACTTTTCTATTGTAGGTTGATGTAAGCTCCAGTAGTGATGTAACTCAAAAATGCAAACAGGATGGCACTAATTTGCGGGCTCGCTCTGTGAATTCAAACAACAGTATTGCTCAGTCAAGAATGCGGAGAAATAGGTAAAAATTGGAAAAACGTTTGATTTTCATTAACAACTGCAGTGACAAAGTGATATTAATTGACCACATTGAGGGGGAAGGTTGTAACTTTGTAATTGCTTCTTGAATCAGGGATTAAGCAGAATGGAAGGATATCGGTAATAAATTCTAGCGGAGAAAAGAATGAGTTTGGTACCACGAACTTGGCTTACAGTGAGAAGAAAATGTTTGTTATTATCGAAAATATAAGCATTTGATATACAAATCACTGTCTTCTTATTGCAGGCCTCAAATTTCAATGATTTTAGGGCACTGCCATTTTGGTCTCAGGTAAGTGGACATTTTAAGGGGCACTGGGGCCAAAAGCATGGGCAACGAGGCCATTTTTTTTTATAAAGGAAAGGCACCAAGGCCGCCTTAAAACTCCTGTGAAGTGACAAGAGCAGATCTGGAGAGGGGGAGTCACCTCATCTCCTCTGACCGAAGAATAAAAAAGCAAAGCTGTAAGCAAGTTTTAAAATGCAAAAGAAATAAAATCGCCTCCTCTTTGGAGAAATCCACCTGTCTCACATGCTTTACTTATGAGTCGTGCGCACACCTCCGGCTCTGCATGACATAGTGCCCCTTTGTGTTTCGATTTCTGGGAATTTATCTGCTATGGCTGGATTATGTACGTTGCAATATACAGACGTAGCCCTGTACAGCATGACCATATGGAATGGACCTGACTTTGCCGGAAGTCGTTCGGCCACACCACAAAAGTAATTCTTTGTGTGGATTTAAGATCGGAAACGTACGGGAAATAAAAGGTATAGTTTCAGGGGGCACCACAGCCGAGATGAAAGGAGCATATGGCCATTTTTGGCCGCGGACAGAGTGCCATTTTCAAAGCACCGCAGCCAAGTGAAAGGGCACCGACCGCCATGGCCGCGGTGAAACTTAAGGCCAGTTATTGTACAGTGTTAAACTATATTTCACACTCTAAACATATTTTGTTTTGTGCTTTTCTTTAGATCTCTTCGGATGGATGATACAAAAATTACCTCTTACAGTCCAGTACGAACCAGAAGGTCTGCTAAGATGGAAACAGAGCAAGAGCCATTGACTGAACCAGTCACTATTGATAATATCCACTTAGCAGAATTTGAGGAAGAAGATCATGAGTTCATACCACGGCGCAGTATGCGAGCCAGAAAGCCGTTATATACAACCATGAACACCAATATGATTGGTAAGGAAGACCTTCAGCCTGTACTTAGTAGTTGGAGAACATTTGTCATCGTTGTTGAACATGATTTTAAGCTTTTCATTAAGATCATAATGTGCAGCTTATAAATTGAAGTATATGTATTTTGCTTTTACAGTCAACCATGTGTTATCTGCACTACAAGAGGATAAAGCTGCCAAATCCATCCAGAAGAAAAGAAATAACATTGATGAAGAGGAAGAAGAGGAGGATGAACATCAAGGATCAGATGATGAGGTGAGGAAATAAATGTTCACTTGAGCGTTCACACAAAGAATCACATACATGTACATAATCTAACACAAGCTTTGTACCTGTAATTGTTTTTATTTATTCAGGAGGTTGATAGTACAAGCTTGGACATGTACTCTCGCATTAAAAGGCGTCACATCAAGAGACGATCTCTTGCTGAAGAGGAGGAAGAAGATACAGAAGATGAAGGATCTGATCAAGACAGTGATGGTAAAGACTTAGTAAAGGGATGTATAAAATTGACTTGATGATAGTTGAACCAAGGGGTTTGTGTCAAGATGTATGAAAATGGCCTGATGATACGGGAAGGAAACCTTAGGTGGAAAGATATTTGAATATGGTGAGATGCCGAACAGTCCTGATTTTTTCCTCTGCTTTTGGAACAGAATATTTAAATTTCTTTTTCAATGTACACAAGATTATGTTATAATCTTTAAAAAGATATTTGGAGACTTGAAAAGGTCTTGCAACTTCTCTAATTCAACGTAGAAGAAAGTTCTGAAGAAGAAGAGGAAGAGGACCCACCTACAAGGAACTATGGCTTGAGACAACATCGACGAATTGTACAGAGATATGAGGCTCCATTACAAGGTGAAGTGACATTTATGTTCAATACTCAAGATAGATTAATATTGTATTTGTAACAAATATTTCAGTGTTAATGCATGGGCATTTTGATGGCATGTTCTCATAGCTCACTGATATTTTTGTGTTTTCCCTTTAGAGACTATTCCTAGAAAGCGGCCTATTCGTCTATTTGATAAATCACGTTCACCACTACGGCGGCATTATCGCAGTCATTCCAAACCACTTACTCCAATCAGAGGCCAGCATTTTAAGAGGTAAGAATAAGGGTGCAACTCGCTGTGAAATTGAAATGTTTTGGTAAAATGTTCTCAGATTTCAATGTTATCAAAAACTTTGACATTTTTAATCATTCTGTTATATTTTTATTAGAAATAATTTATCTGTTGTACACGATGGAAGGGTTTGAAATTCCATTTTAATCTAAAGTTATCAAGTCTATGTTTTTGCCTGATGTAGGAAGCACCATGCTGCCCACAACAGGTCATCTACTAGTACAGATTCTTCTGATGATGAAATGCATTTTGAAAGGCGTAAGAAAAAGAGTATGGCTCGGAGTAGAATGAGGTATGTTGCACTGAAGAAAAAAGGACTGAAAAAGATGCTTGAAAATATAATTGGATGTCAAAGAAAAACTTTCCTAGCAGTACCACATCCTGCGATTTCAATATTATTTTACGTACACCTTACAGGGCTGGAAATAAGAATTGATGAGGTCAAGGCCATTTGGCTGCCATGATCTATTCATTTGGAAGGGCACCAAGGCAAACAAGTAGGGCAGCAAGACCAAACACTAATTTGGATGTAGGGCACCAAGGCCATTTTTTTCCAGTTGAATAGCGCTAAAAAAACTACCATACCATGTGTTGGTAGAGCAGTTATATTTTCGTTGGTTACCGTTGACTTCTGATAACTCGAACCTCAGGGAATAGATAAAATTCAAGTTGTCTGGATTTCGAGTTAACGAATATGCCTGAGTCATTGCGTCACCCACACATATGTACGTAATCACAATAAACTTAGTTGCTCTGCAGTGACAACATTTTGGTGATTATATTCTCGCTCTCTCTTCATTCTCATGGTGTGTTTTATAAGCACAAATAATCATTTTACAAACTGAGGCATTACAAAGTGAGGCATTACAGTGCATATAATTTGTTGCAGCAAGCTAGAACTAACAATCCAGTCAACATTGTGTGAAAGATGAGATAGACAATGTAATCAATATAATACACGAAGTGACATGTCCTTACATCCCAGTTAATGGCTTTTTTGTCTCTTACAGATGTCTTCCAATGAACATGGTTCCAGAAGATGTGACTGGAATCATGAAGGATCGTCAGAAAATTGGGAGCAGTCTTGCTGATGTAGATCCCATGAACATTGATACAACAGTAAGCATTATACATGTAATAGTGAACCAAGAGGGATGCAACTACAAGTCCCAATTTCAAAATCCAAGTCCGGAATTCTTGAAAACAGAACTTTAAACTTGTTTTGTGTGTAACAATAGCTTTTTATCAAAACGCTTAAATGACATGTCTATGTCTGTGAATAATTTACTATTCAATATTTTCACTTCACTAGGTGACTTTTGACTGTGTCGGTGGTCTCAACCAACACATCCGGAACCTAAAAGAAATGGTTGTCTTCCCGCTTTTGTATCCAGAAGTTTTTGATCATTTTAAGATGTCACCACCAAGAGGCGTTCTTTTCCATGGACCACCAGGGACTGGCAAGACGTTAGTAGCAAGAGCACTTGCCAATGAGTGTCGTCAAGAAGATAAGAGAGTTTCTTTCTTCATGAGGAAGGGAGCAGACTGCTTGAGCAAGTGGGTAGGAGAGTCTGAGAGACAACTCAGACTCCTCTTTGATCAGGTATGGATGACTTAATAAGTTTTGAAAAATGGCGTTTGCTTACTTATGGGTTAGTAAATAGCTGAATATTCTGTCCTGAAATGAAGACCCTTCAGTTTTGGACCTCTGCTTTTGAATAAGACTTATTTCAGCATTGAATACATCTCAAACGTACATGTAAATCCGATATTTTGTTTCAACAGGCATATATTATGCGTCCTTCCATCATCTTCTTTGATGAAATTGATGGCTTGGCACCTGTGCGATCAAGTCGTCAAGATCAGATCCATTCTTCTATTGTCTCAACACTGCTTGCCCTTATGGATGGCCTTGACAGCCGTGGTGAGATCGTTGTCATAGGAGCAACCAATCGAATTGATGCTATTGATCCAGCACTTCGTCGTCCTGGACGGTTTGATCGAGAGTTCTCATTCCCATTACCTTCGCAAGAGGTGAGTATATTAGCTCATTGGAGGCATAGCAACTGCTTATTGCCATCCCGAATCCCTCAGCAGCATTGATTAAATGTAACTTTCCAGCACAAGGAGGCTTTGAAGGCATTCTTTATTTATTAACTGTTTTGAGGAACAGTTTCTGCAAATTCTTGTTTTTAATGTGACTGCAGGCTCGACGTAGCATTTTGTCCATTCATACTACAAACTGGAGTCCAAAGTTGTCTGATGCATTCATCTCTGAGGTCGCTGAAAAGTGTGTTGGTGAGTTCATCAGTTTAATCCTGCTAGATGCTATCGTTGGATGCACAGGTTATTTTTTTCATTCTGAGTCAAGTAGTTTGTATGTTTTTGCTGCCTTATTGACATCACTTACAAGCTAACTGTGTTTTTGAACACATGGAATATGGGTGCCGTTGGCTTTATATTCTTTGACAACATTGTTGAAAACATAATGCCAGCATCTCGTAATTCGGAAACATTCGGAACACTTAGTTCTCAATGCAGAATGGGCGGCTGTTCCATTGAGAACGTGGCATTCACTGCGTTTTTAGATGCATCCTTATTAGAACACAAGCAAATAGCTAATTTTGTAGCTGTTATTTGTCTGTTCTCTTTCCAACTCTGTCAGGCTACTGTGGTGCAGATTTGAAAGCTCTGTGTACTGAAGCTGCTCTGTTTGCACTCCGACGTCAATATCCACAAATCTATGCTTCCAAAGAGAAACTTCAGTTGGATGTAACTCAGATTCAAATGAGTGCCAAAGACTTCCATAAAGCTATGAAGAAAGTTGTACCAGCTGCTCAACGTTCAGTGGTGTCACCAGGCAGGGCATTGTCTGTCATCATCCAGCCATTGTTGCAGAATCAGTTAAATGCTGTGTTGGAGCAATTACACCGTGTCATGCCTGCTGCAGTCACCTCAAGTGACAAGGCTACTACATCTGGTGACATAAGTGAGTAGGAATACTGATGGAGATTATGGTCTGATAGGTCATGTCAAGATCTTTTGGATTAGTGAAATAAGTCTACGCAGTGGGGTTGCATTTGCAGTGCATGTGTCTTTGGTATGTGACTCAATCCCCTTGAAAAACTTTCTGTTTTCATTGCATTTGTGACCTAATACTCTTTGCGGAAGTCGTAGTTGATTGATGGCTTTAGCAGATGTCAAACCAAGGCTACTGTAATTCAATTAGAAATTATAACGAGTTATTGTTGCAAATATATACCTCTATAGGCTCCTCCTCAGCTGCATCAAAGATGGTGCTGGACGTGACTGATGAATATGATGACTACAGTGAGGAGGAGGGTCCTTGCATCTTTGACAAGTCTTCAACACAGAGCGATGGAAAGAGAAAGAAAAGTGTTTGTGACAGAGAACAGTCAAGTTATTCATTCATGGACTTCTCAAGGCAAGTTGGACATTTGTCACGTTTTGAGATTCACTGCAGTCAACATATTGTTTTTTAAAACTGATTGTGTTTTTAAATTAGACCAATTGCCTGTTGAAACAGTCTTACATGAATTACCTCCACAATTGTCATCATGCACAGTGCTGCGTATGAGAGGCCTTCAACCCACAGACCTCGTCTTCTTCTAAGTGGTGCCGAAGGTCAAGGTCAAAGTTCGTATCTTGGACCAGCTGTTCTACATCATCTGGAGAAGATGCCTGTTTACCGATTAGATCTTCCTGCTTTGTATTCAGTCAGTGTGAACACACCAGAGGAGTGCTGTGCTCAGGTGAATCATGCTGAGTAGTCAGGTTGGGAAGTTGGGTTGGAAGTCAGATATTAACCAAAGTGACATACACATTAGTGAAAAAGATGCATTTCTGACCTCTTTCAACAAAGAGTTATTTTAACTTAAGTCTGTCCTTGCTTGAAGAAATGCGAATGTAACCTTGAGCAATAGATATGTGAATTTGGGGATGTTATTCCTTCAGTGTCATTGATGATGAAAGTTTTAAAGTAATTTATATTGGAATCTAAGCATGATATGATTCCAGATTTATTGACTAATCTTTTTGCTTTAGATTTTCCGTGAAGCTGGACGTAGTAGTCCCAGTGTTATCTACATGCCTAATATCAGTCGTTGGTGGGAAACAATTACAGACACAACAAGGGCAACATTTCTAAGTCTTCTACTGGATCTTCCACCTAATGCACCGGTATTGATTTTAGCTACAAGTGAGAAGGCCTTGCATGAAGTACCACTAGAGGTATGGAATGGTTTGAATAGATAATTGCGAGCAAGAAATGTTGACTTACAGAAACAGTTCTTTTGTAGGATCTCAGAATTGACTTCACTCGCTTGAAATATGACACACAGATTTCCCCACTGTATTTTTTTGTGGTCAGCTTCTAATTAATTGGCACGCAGGTACGAGAACTATTTAGTGATTATAGAGGGGAAGTCTACCGAGTGAGACTCCCATCTCCTGAGGAAAGACATGCCTTCTTTGAGGATCTCATCCTTCATCAAACTTGTAAGCCACCACCCAGGAAGAGAAGAGCAGGTACATATAGGTATATTCATGCAGTGATTGTAATGTGTTCAGTTCTCCTTTAAGTCATAACAGATACCATCCAGAAAGTTTGCAGGATTAAGTTTCCATCTTTGAACTTCATTGTTTCATACACGTGATATTTATGGGAGAATTTAGATTTTGCCCAAACTCATATTTTTGTATGTAATTTTGTATGTTTGTTGTAATCAAATATATTGAGGAAAGAAAGAGGTGACTTTTTTGTTACGGTTCACCCTTGTGTGTGAGATCTGTATTCACCTCCCTCACAAGATCAAGCATCATATATATTTCCATTAATTCACAAACTATTTCCTTCCATCTAGTAGCTGGTAGCTTGGAAGTACTACCTGTTGTGGCACCCCCAGAGCCACGCAGACTTCAAGAAGAAGAGCTGAAGAAACTTGAAGAGCGTGAAGAGTCAACACTAAGAGAACTGAGGTTATTCCTCCGAGATGTGCTGACACGCCTTGCAAATGAGAAGAAGTTTCGACATTTCTTGAGACCAGTTGATCTTGAAGAGGTGAAATTTTAACTTACAGTAGTACTTCTTTTTGGGTAGTAAACTTTTGTAGTACTCATATGACTTGCTTACGCATCCACAATATTGACAATATGGAATAAATTGTGTATATTTTACAGGTACCAGACTACTTAACTGTAATTAAGAATCCGATGGACCTGTCAACCATGATGAATAAGATTAACATGCATCACTACAACAGCGGACGGGACATGATGGATGACATTGATCTGATTTGCCAGAATGCATTGGAGTATAATCCTGACAGAGATCCTGGTGGTATGTCACTTAATCTGAGCAGGTGTATTGCTTTGGAGTATAACACTGACATATCTTACATGGATCTTTGCATCACTCTCATTTTGTTGTTTTGTTGGTGGTCAGTAGTGCCTTGTATACCTCTTGCATTTCTCATTGCTTCGTTGAAAATTTGAAGTAAAGTTCTGATCTTTGTGTCAGCCGTGAACCCAAGATCTGCTATAGAATTTGTTTTATGACCTCTTTGTCAATTGTTTTTCTACTCATTTCTTGCTTTGTGACAGATCGTGCCATCCGTAATTATGCCTGTGAGTTGAAGGATACAGCATATGCCATTATTGAAGCAGAGATGGACAAGGATTTTGAGAAGGAGTGTCTTGATATCAAGGAATCGAGGATGAATCGAGGTATGAGCTGGAAATTAGAGCTGAGGTAGCAGTTTGCATCATCATGCGTGTGCTATGTGATTCAAAAAGAAAAAAAATGAATATTTCTGTCGTGGAAAATTTGGCATTAATCATGTCTCAAGAGTCTTGCTGGGATCAGTATAAGACAGGTTTGGGGTGATATTTATGTGCTTCATGGATGAATGTATGCAAGACCAGAAGAAATCACCCCTTTGAGTAATATTCCTTGATCAATAAGGGAGCGTCTGAAAAGTCAGAATGTTTGGAACGTTTTTGCACAGTCAGTGTGTTCCCACAGTGAGATGCTGAGCATTCGGTTAGGAACATGCTGTTTCTTTGGAATGATCCAGTAGCGAAATATTTTGGACACTGCATTCCATGTGTCTATTGCCTCAGTTCATTACAATATGTTTGCTCCCTACACGTTTTTGCCCTGCATTGTCAGAAAAATGTTGTCCTTGCTGATAAAATGTGTCAGTAGAGGGCAAATGGCATTTGTCATGATTTGAAATAATTTGGGTGCAGTTACAATGGAATTTATCGGTGAACGTTTATTTCTGTAGCAGTGATAATAAAATTGATGATGTAAGTTGTAATAGTGAGATTTTAGAAAAGAACATGTTCCATGCTATGTTAAGCCTTATGCACCATTTACAGGCCTTTGTCTGAGTAGTACTCGAGTGTTACATGTAGATTAAAAACCTTTCATACTCAATCAGGTCCTTATTTGACATCGTGTGTGTTTATTTGAAGATTACCTTTCAAGAGGCAAATATGTATAAGCTGTCATTATTTAATTTATGAAGCAACTTGATCACTTTGTCTTTTTGGTAACAGGGTTATCATTCAGAGTACTTTGCTTCATAGAATTGTCTTCCTAATTAAGGTAGCTTTATTGGCATCTTTCAGGTCAAAGCCCTGCCAAAACAGCACCTCTTTATTACCGAGTTCTTCCTCCAAGCATGCTGCCAGCCAGTCAAGAGCCTCCTAAACTCAAGCCAGTCCGAGAGCAGCCTGCCAATCTTAAGAGGAAGAATGACACACCTCCAAAGATTAATCCTGTCAGTGGTTTGACTGATCCGTTCTCCCAGTCCAAGTCTGTAAAGAGGAAAAAGCAGACACGTTTAAGATCAAGATGGAACAGAGGATTCATAACGTCAGCAAGAAAAAAGAAGAAGGTGACAAGCACAACAGAGGGCTCAACTAAATTAGATCCAGATGGGACAGAAGAAGTAGAAAATAAGGAAGAGGACAGTGTAACTGAAAATGCGTCTAGCATAGAAGTTGAAGCTGATAGTAATCTTGAACCAGTTAGTCCAAGCCATGATGAAAGGGATGACAGAAGTAACTTTCATCAAACAGATGCCCCACCTTCATGTTTACAAGAAAATGGACCAGTTGAGAATGGGATTGAATCGAACGGTATGCCTGATGAGCTTGAAGCTAGTCGGCATTCCCAAATGACTAATGATAGACCCTGCAGTGAAAATGATAGCATAAAGAGTGGTGAGGTGCACCGAGATGCCAGACCAATCCGCTCTAGACTGCGCTCAAGTGCTAGTTCTCATTCTGATAACAATCCTACTTCACCCAAGTCTACCTCCTTAATACATTCAACGAATGGAACTGAACACTCTACTCATGCTGCATCTAAGGCACCTGATGTTAGTAATGGAACAGATCAATTTGAACAAAGCAGAGGGACTTCAAGATCAGAAATGGCAAGTGTAGACCAAAATACCTCAGGAGCTATCCAGAGACAGACAAGAAATCACCCACCATCTGCAGAGATGGAAGGTAAAAATGTAACAAGATCTCATCCTGATGATACAAGGATGGGGTCTTTTGACAGAGAGGAAACGGTAGCAGTTGAAGCGGGTAAGAGTGACAAGAGGAGTAAATTTGACTTATTATTTGAAAGAACAGGTTAAAGTGGGTTTCACAGTGACACCAAATTTCAAGGATAAAACGTTAGGTGTCTGCAGATGATTGGATAAAGCAGAAGTGAAGATGGTTCCCTGCATTGTTTTGAACCCGTTACGTTGAATTTACTTGTAGGAGGCTCACCAAGTCCAAGAAGAATGACTCGTAGGATGTGGGCAGATATGACCGCACCAAAGATTGTAGGAAAACCTGAGGAAACCACACCAGTACTGGTGGCAGATCACAAAAGGTTAAAGGTAGGTTAATTAACAAGTATTATGTAGTAGATGATGCTACTGTAAACAGACTCTCACTCAAGGAAAGCACTGGATTCAGAAAAGATCAGGTGACACAATGCTGGCATTCTTCTGACTTTCCTGTACATGCCTAAATTAATATGACTCAGCAGAAAGTTCTGAGGTGAACTTGAGTGCTTAGCTGAGAGATGCCCTTCAACCTTTTGGTGGGGGAGGGACAAGGCTCATTTTAAATGAGAAAGCAAAATGTTTTCTGAAGTTTTGGTGCAGTCGTGCAAATAAGCAACTGTTTCAGTATTCATCATTCCAGTAAGAACAGCTTTTTTTCCCCACGCCGAAAGCGCAGTTCTTGAAGTTTCCTTTTTCTGTTGTTTAAAGGTTGCCCTGGAAAACTAACATTGATTCTTTATATACATGTACATGTACCTCTGTGTAATGTTGTCTTTACTAGGCCCTTCTATCCACTGTGGTACAAAGAACTAGTGGTAGTAATGTTGAAACTTTGGAGAGACTTCACTGCAGTCTGAGTCAGTTCATCTACACACATCGTATGGAGTATGACAAAACTCAGTTGATTACAGTGAGTATCCCCATGTTATGATTTGAGTTTGTGGAAAAGAAAAATGTGCATTAATTCTGAACACATAAATTGTTGAAATCACAGTCTTTATATTTATTCTGGGGCATAACGTTGGACAAGCTGTATTTATATGAAGGTTCTGCTACTTTTATTTATATCTGTACCATTCTTTGCAGGATATGGAAAGTGAAGTGCTGTGCTTTGTGAGGATGTAAAATACAAAATAGGGAAGGACAGTGGAAGACTTTGAATTCTGTGGATAGTCACATTTGACTTGGAACGTATAGAAATTATCATCGTATTTGGAGTGTTCTTAAAGTATCCCTAAAAATGAGTATTGAAATACTTGGGATGATTTGGAGCTATACAGTTGACGTGACCCTACCTCATTACATCAACAAACTTGCTGGCAAAACGGTACATCTCAGGGAAACATCTTACATTCTCTGCTAGATTTTTATTCAACAGAGTTTGTAGGAGATCTGTCAATGTTACATTTTCCCAAACTACTTTTGAGTTGGTGTGTTTTTGGAATAGATTACACCAATTTGTTAACGCTGACTAGATGAAACAGTTTAGAGAAAAAATGTTGGGAGCATATTGAGCATCATAGACACAGTAAACTGTCCATAATCTGAATTGGACCTCATAATAGTGTTAATGTCAAACAATGGGTACAGTTTTTACTTATAGGTGAGTCTACATGTATATATGTTCACAAGACACGTCAGAAGTAAGAGTGTGAATTGTTGTCTTTTGTTCATTTGAACAGCCTGCAACTTGACTCGATTACAGTACTGCATTAGGCATACATGTCATTTGGTTGACAAATTTCACTCTCAGGCTTTGCTTAGTGTAGTTAGATCAGTTTTCAATTCTTGAATAATGCATTTTTTCCAGAGACCTGCTGTTTGACTTGACATTTTCTCAGTGTTTTGTGTAGAAAAAAAAAAAGATTTCTATTAAACCATGTTGGGAAACTAAGCGCTAAGTGATTATTGAAGGAATTGTCTGAATGTGGATTTGAACTTGCAACCTTCAGAATACCTTACCAGTGGTCAACCAACTGAGCCGTCCAGCCCTGTGTTGGTGGCCCTTCCCAGTTATCAGTCACTTTGTTTAGAGGGGGACTTGCCAGATGCAACAAAACCTGTGATAGCAACTGAATTTCATATTTTGCCATTGAATGATTTTTTTCTAGCTTGATATTAAATATGTGAGTTGCTGCTTTTCAAGTCCTTCAGAAGTTCAAGTACACTGTACATGTAGGTGGGAAATGAGAGAATGGAATCTGATCTGTGAGATTAACATCAGTGTTACAGAGGAGTTGGATGTGGCATGAAGTGAGGTTATCTTAGGCAAGAAGAACCACAGAATATTTGGGAAATCGTTTAGAGCATGTATGGTTAATATGCATTTACATTCCAGAGATAAACTGAGTAAGTTAAATTGACAGTACCTCAAAGGAGAGTTAATGTTGGGCTTGAATGCTGCCTTACAATGAGGTAGAGTGAATTACCTTTGTAAAGTCTTTGCAATGTGTACATGCTGCAGATGATTGTGTTGATAGTGTGTGATAGTAATGGAATATGTTTAATGGATCCTCATTTGACATTTGAGAGTCATGGGATGGGATTAACTGGATGAAACAGTAAACATTGAGTATTACCTTGCAGAAGTGAGAAGAGTAAACCCTTTACTGTCGGGATCACCAAGCTCATGGATAAGTAACTTTCTCTGAAACACTTCCAAATTTTTGAGTGTTCATTCCATAAAACCAGATTTTGAAAACAATTTACAAATTTACCATATTCCCCCTTCCTTGAAATGTATACTGAAGCAGAAAATCACACCGGTTTCAAAAGTTCAGTTTTAAACTTCTATTAGTTTTTCAGTATGCAGTATCTATGGTACAAATGCATCAGCTAGCTTAGGCAGGAATCTTAAGTATTACTAGAAATGCATTAACCGTTGATGACTTGTGACCGCTTTGAAACTAAACTCTTTTGTGTCCACATTCTTACATGTGGGTTCCTTGTTACGTTTAAAATATGCAAAGGCTTGAATTATTTGCTTTAGTTTGCAGTATGTTGAACATAAGTTTTGTCGTGCTGCAAATATCTCTAAGCTACTGAAAAGGGCATACAGGATAAATTCTGTAGCAGTACATGTGTTTGGTGTAACCGGTAATCTAATTAGTTAGATAATCTGATAATCCGATAATCTAACTGATAATCTAACTGTTCCTACTGATCCTACTGATTACTAGTCCTGTTGATCTTGCTGTTCTTGTGACATCAACCAGGGCAGCCCAAGATCCTAATATATATATATATTTGGGGGGGGGCGGTAGGGGATTTGCATGAAATAAAAATCTTTAAAGTGACAGCAACATTGTAAATGTAATTTCGTTGGAGATTTAACAGGGTAATGTCAAATTGGAAATATTAATCATTTATTCTTTGTTGGTATTAATACTTGAAGCCGAAGTGACTTTTATGAAGATCAAAGACTTACAAAATCAAATAATTGCTGGAAGATGATGGGTCACTTTCTGTTATTTTGAAGTCAGCATTGATTGTTGTGCTTTACATGTCATGACCTTGAAATCTTGTCATGTTAATTTGTTTTCATATTTGTAAATATGAATTGCATCAGACGAGAAGTTGTTTGAAGTGAGTACTTCCTATTTAAACTCCAAGGTTTAATTTTCAAAAAAGTAAGGATGAAACTGTTTGGAATATGGCCCTTACGGAATTCATTTTTCAGAAACATTCTACTTGATGAGATATTATGAGTTAATATATTGGTAATTTATGAGAATGAATTAGATTCTATCTTGTAAGACTAATACAAAAGATGTTAATACTTTGGTGCTTCTGAGTTGGATCTCTTAATCTGAAAATGAAAGATTTGAAGTAATCTTTAGTTACCTGAGATTTGCTCTTTTCCATGAACAAAACTGATTCCAGAAAGCAGTTGTAGTGAGAAAGCCTCCAGGTTCAACGTTTTACAAATTTCCTGCAGTGAATGATCTTATTCTGTAATTTACAAGAAGACATACACTTAGGAAGCCGATAAATGTACACACACTTGTTGTACCCAGATTTTCATCTTAAATTGTTGACGTCCAGAAATTGAAGAACTGCCAATTCATTGTACAACAGAAATACATTTGAGTATGTGGGTGAAAATTTGTCACAGAAAACACTCTTAGGAAATGGGACACAAAAAGATAAGCCATAAGAAGTAATTCATTGAAAGAAGACGCTAAGTATCCTGCCACATACCTTGCTGTATGAGCATGATGCAGATAAAAACTTGGTAATTATAATGTCAAGAATTCAGTGGATTACAAATAACATGAGGTGCTTGTAAGATAAATTTTCATTTTTGCAATGTTTCTAACTTGTAAATTTTGTAGGGCAGTGATTTTGTGTTTTGATATAACTTGTAATTTGCAGTACATGTGCGCTGTCAGTGCAAGGTTATGTTGTCCATTTGATGTAAAATTTGTGCGTTTTTGTTCTGCAGACAGGCTGCATATATATGTAGGTCATTTGGTATTTTACAGATGCCTGTAGAAACATGTTATCCATCACATGACTGCAATATGGTAATGATCTCATGGAAGGTCATTTCCACAATTTGAATTTTATTATTGTGTGTTGGAGAGGCCAGGATTAATCATTAAATTTTGTATTTTTCTGTAACGACGTTTGACTTGTAGGAGAAACTATGTTGTGAGTTAATATTGATAATGAAACTCGCTAGGTAAAGTTATATTTAAGTTATTAAGGGAAATTTGCGTCACATCTTGAAGGTCATAAATGTGACCTTTTCAGTGTGCATTGGTCACTGTACCTTGTATGATGCAGCTACATCTACACCGAACATGTGTCTTGAAATCTGAAGATGGATTACAGTGTAAGTTGCAATGAAAACATGGGTAGGTTTCCGAGTTCAGAAAGTTCAGGTATGTTTTAGGCCAACATGTACATGTATTTCAAAAACTCTTCGTGAATGTCTATGCAACATCGCATTCATAGAAGTGTATCCATTGCTTCAATAAATGGCTTTCAAATAGTGAATTACAGAACCTTTGTACATCACATGTACATCAAAAACTTTTCTCTGTGAATGTTTTATGTACATAAAGGTGTGTAAGTTGTCTTTTCACCATTTGTGAATTAGATGTGTTATACGTAATGACTCCAGTGTTGTATTGAGTCCATCGCGAGTCACTCAGTCTTTAACCAATTGACAAGCTATTCAAATGAACTGTAACAAAAGCATTTGTTTGTCATTGTTCACCCAGTTACGAGAAACTTGTGAATGAAGTGACTTGTAAAAGGACTTGTAATGGACTCAAATGCATCACTGCTTTAGAATGCTTGTTAATGAAATGTTTTCACCCTGGTGTAAACAGCGTTTGTAATTTGTTTTTCTATCTTTGTACTGAACTTTTGTATTTACTTAATTTGAATTATTATTGGAATACATTAAAGTCAATCTGACATTTCAAAAGTTTCATAATTTTTTCATTTTGTGCTCACTGTGCAAGAGGGTAAGAAACAGTTAAGGGGCTCCTGAGTATGGTGTTGATGACATACAATACCAGTCAACTAAAGAGTTGCACTAAGTTCATTGTATCAATATGTGAAGGCGTATCAGTACCGGTACACCATCTGTGATGTCTCCTAGGTATGGATGATTGGCAGGGGTGTGATGAGTGGGCCAATTAAAATCTAAGCTGAAAACAACTAGAAAAAGCTGAAATGTTAAAAGTTCCAATATACAGTACATTACTTTTGTACAGACCAGGTGTACAAAAAAGCTGAAATTCAGGGTAAACATCTGAACATGAAAGAACTGAATTGTCACACAACTGGACGGCAAACACAAATCATCGATATGGGGAGGTGTCTCCTATGTATGGATAAAGATGGACAGTCTGCAGAAGCCAGAAAAGGTTGGCCAACTCAGAGCATCAAAATGTGGAGAAGGGTTGGGACAAAAGCAAAAGTTGCAGAGGAGACAGCATTGAACCAATATCTGCCCTTACCATCTCATACAGATTGATTAGGAAAGACACAGACGTCTGCTCAACAGCCAGTTTGGCTTGGGTGGTTAACGTGTGCATCTATCCCGATCATCTCTTGGAGCAGACACCAACACGTACATCTGTCCTGAAAATCTCTTGAAATGCACACAAGCACATACGTCTGTCCTGACCATCTCTTGGAGCAGACAACATGTACATCTGTCCTGACCATCTCTTAAAGCAGATTATCACCAACACAAACATTAATCCTGACTATCTCTTGAAATAAACACCAGCACGTTCATCTGTCCTGACCATCTCTTGGAGCAGGCACCAGCACGTTTATCTGTCCTGACCATCTGTTGGAGCAGTCAACAGCATGTACATCTGTCCTGACTATCTCTTGGAGCAGACACCAACATGTACATCTGTCCTGACCATGCCTCGAAGCACATTATCACCGACACATGTCCTGACCGTCTCTTGATATAGATACCAGCACATACATCTGCCCTGACCATCTCTTGGAGCAGACACCAACACGTACATCTGTCCTGACCATCTCTCGAAGCAGATTATCACCGACACATGTCCTGACCATCTCTTGAAATAGACACCAGCATGTACATCTGTCCTGACCATCTCTTGGAGCAGACACCAACCCGTACATCTCTCCTGACCACCTCTCGAAGCAGATTATCACCGACACATATGTTGTGACCATCTCTTGAAATAGACACCAGCACGTACATCTCTCCTGACCGTCTCTTGGAGCAGACACCAACATGTACATCTGTCCTGGCCATCTCTTGAAGCAGATTATCACCAGCATGTACATCTGATCCTGACCATCTCTTGGAGCAGACACCAACACGTACATCTGTCCTGATCATATCTCGAAGGAGATTATCACCAACACATATGTCCTGACCATCTCTTGAAATAGACACCAGCACGTTCATCTGTCCTGACCGTCTCTCAAAGCAGATTATCGCCAACTTGGACATCTGATCCTGACCATCTCTTGGAGCAGACACTAACGCGTACATATGTCCTGACCAGTGAAGCAGATTATCCCCTACACATATGTCCTGACCATCTCTTGAAATAGACACCAGCACGTACATCTGTCCTGACCATCTCTTGAGGCAGATAGACACCCAACATGTACATTTGTCCTGACCATCTCACCTGGCAGTTTGGCACAGCACATAATTACAGTTTGCCTATCACCATGTCATCATACAGTTTGGCTAGGGCAGACACATTGCAAGCATATGTACCGGGGTACCATAAGCTTTCATTTCAGGAATTCTACTCTAATATGATGGCTCAGTGTACATGCAGTACATGTACTTGTCACGTAGTCAGATTTCAACCAACTGGAAGTTGAAATTGTTTTGACGCCCTTATGACACCACCCAGCCGTGTCAAAACATGGGAACAATACATGTACATGGAGCTTTCTTCAGCAAACGTGGGGTAAATTAAGAATTGGTTGCTGTTGTCTCTGCAATTACACATGCATGTATGTGCACAATTTTATATAAAAGTGTCACTGTGCACAGATGCATCAAGTTCTTATAAGAGTACAAAATATATTTAATTTCAAGACTGATATATTACATGGATATAAATTAAGAAAGTACAATAGTAGTCAATTCATATGTTGTGTTCATAAAAATTGGGAAAAGTTGACTTACCATTGGCTGGTTTGTTGTGAAATTAAGTTACTGAATTAAGTGTAAATGTGTACAGGCTGTTGGCCCTGAGAATGAAATGCCAATAAATATGCTTAAGATAATCTTCATATAAACATGTGAACGAATTGTTAACAGAAAGAACATTTATTACATCATTAGTGATAGCCATTCCTTTGTGTAGAGATAAACATAGTATGCATACTAATGTAACAAGGATAACATTGCATGGTAAATGATAAACAGTTGTTTGAATGAGGGTTTGATAGGACTAACTCCAAGTAAGTTTCATAGAAAGCAGCTCATTTTTGATGAAGTATAACATTCTTCTCTCCGTCTATGTACCCACCTGTCAATAATGAATAACTTCAGATCCACTACTTTAACGTAATTTGTGCTACATGTAGTACATGTATACTCATTTTACTCAGTTTCAGGCAATCGGCAAACTTCTGATAACTCTAGTCAGCATTTGTAAATGTAAGGCTGCCAGCTCTCAAGCATGAGCATGACTCGCATTTCAGGTTATTCTTAAGCCCACATGGAATTTCTCATGCTAAAAACCCTTTTTAAAGAAATAAAAACTGTAGTTTGATTTCATAGCCCAGAATAATGATGATCATCAGCTTAAAAAAGGATATGAGCCGGAGCAACAACAATCCTAGCTTGGTAGTATCTTAAACAACCTCACCACAGGAATCAATTCAAGTCACCTAACTTAGCTGAACAGCCAGAAAAGGTGTGTTCCTTTGTTAATAGAAATTACAAAAAAGTTAAGTCAACCCAAACATGCCTCCTTGACTCATTCTTCAGGATGCTGTAAAATATTACTGCTTGTATAAAATAGGTACTTATACCGATTAAGATATTCTGAGTAATGTGTAAGTTAACTTGATTAACAGATATGTTAATTCTTGGAAACATTTACAGAGAGGTGTTCCCTGGTGTTTAATTAGAATCATACCCTTGCATCCCCCTCAATTTTTGTAAAAAAGGAAAGAGTGATGAAAGACAAAATGAAACAGTTGCACTGCACCAACTCACAGATTTTTGGACTTGATGGGCCATGTATTTGGCAAATCACAATATGCTGTTGGTTGAAGTTGCATAAGGTGCACATACCATCTGTCCATGAGCATTGTGCCACTGTAGTAAATTTAGCTTCTACTTCTGGTTGCCAACTTACAGATGACAAAGTACATTTTACCCTAAAATCCAATTACAAGTGTCAAACGGAAAAGATACGTTTTGAAAGTATGAACAAGCAATACTAGCACTGTAATAAATAAGATCCTCCTCTTTGTAAAACATCCAGACTCCTCTAAAGCTTTGAGATTCGATGGTCTTAATTTTGTCAAACTCTTAACAAAATCCATACCCTTCATCACAATCAGGTTAGGCTCAGTTGTTTTGTTTGAAACATTATTCAATTATAGTTTTTCTCTGGCATACACTTGGAGTCAATTTGACACTTTATAGTTGTCTGACACTTTAAAACATTCAAATTAATTACAACAAGAAATTTGAGTACAGTATTTGAACATATGTAAGATGTTTAACAGGGCAAGGTGCATTTTTTGTTATAAGAAAGTATCAGCCAACAATGGCATACCGTGTTCCTTGGAGGGAGTTCATGTCGAACCCATTTTAAAGACTTTTGCTTATGTTTAATTTACACAAAATAAACACTAACTCAGCCCTATTACTCTTTCCCATTCTAGACAAACCGTAACCACTTCATTTTTGAGTGTGTATGCCCTGGTTGACACAAACATACTGGACGATTTCTGATACTGGGAAATTTAAGACCGGATTATGGGACTTTTGTGTGTCCTAACAAGGATGTTGTCCCCTTTACTATTGCTGTGTGTCGCCCATACAACAATAAAACGGGTGTACCGGTATCTGGTTGGTTACTTTTAAGGGCAGATGCAGTGGAGGCTGGACGCCAGCCATGTACATGTACTACACTGTTCAACATTTGTCACTAACCTAACAAAAAGTGATAGAGTCTGGACTCTATACATGTATCTATAAAAAATATAGGCACCATTACATGGTTTTAACATAAAGACAATTTAAATACAAAACTTCATGGATATTAGGGACTGTTAACATTTCACCAGCACCCTCTGCCTTTTTCAGCTGCTTTAAGAAAGTCTACTTCTGAAGAATGACTCCCAAATATCTCTCTCTTTTGCTGGGAGGCCTCTTGGTGTGATGAAGGCCACAACACCTTGCTTGGAGGATGCATAGAGTAAAATCCATTGTGTTTCATGGAGCGTGTCACTCCTCAAGTCCTGTCCACTTTTCACATGTATATCTGGAGTTAGGATAAAAAGAAAAACAAATGTTAGTTTTCACTGATTCTTTATGGAATTACTGAAATTCTGATTAGGATTCTTCTTCAAAATAGCTTGTACATGCATTCCTTTCTTCAGTCTTCATCATCAAGACTTTACTACAAGAAGGTACACACATACTTTTGTGTGGGGCATTCATGCCTCTCGTTACATACATGTAATCTAACATTACCCTTCAAGTATTCAGGAAATGACACAGAGGGGTACCCCCCCGTGTCCAATCCCTAAACATACTCAAAAGACTATTGTTACCTAACACATCCCCTAGATCCCAATAACACAATGACTAACACAAAAGGGGGGAGTTCTCTCCGTCTCGTATTTTGCTTCATAGTTAAGTAGTGTCATGTATGCTGTGAAAAGAACGGCTGTCAACATTTCATGTGGATGGTGTAACAATGGAAATGTGTCAAACGTTTCCTTTAAAATCTACTTTTAGGTGATTTTTTATAAAGAACACATCAGATTACTAGGGCGTTTTAGCAGTAGCAATCCTTAATGGACTTACTTTAAGACTTACTTTAAAGCAAATTCTTAAGGCAATTAAATCAATTCAGATAGTCAAAGCTAATTTTTTTACATTTTAGTGCTTTATTGTTTAACTAATGAAGTTAAAGACACATAGTAACATTTTCAGCTTGGCATTGTTGCTGAAATATTCACACAAAAATTAGAAGGCAGTTTAGTTTTGTTATGCTCACACGAGTATTTTTAACTGAACACAATTTACAATTTGTTTGAAGCTTTTTCCACTGTTCAACATTTAGCCTGGCCACAGTGTGTAAAACAGCAAATTTTTAGCTTAATATTACAAGATTTGCTTAGCCAAACTACGTGTATTAATACAAAATGCAAAATGTATTTTAGGTTTTAGTTCGAAAGAAACTCAAATATTTTAAATCAAACTTAACTTTTCTACGTTTTATGTCTGGTCAAAGGTTTAGCATAACCCATGGCTATTAAATACAAGGTCACATTTTTAGCACTCAAGCATTATTGTTACAAACTGCTAAAACAAAGCTTAGAGAGTATCGGTGATTAAAGGCTGCTTTAACCAAACATAGTATTTTACCTTATCAAAATTATTTTTCTTTCGAGTAGCTTTTGTTAATTGAATAAAAATATGGTTACATTTCCAGCTTAATATACATGTAACAAGCATTGTATTTTGAGATCAAAATCTAGATGGTATTTTGAGTTGAAGCTAACAAATAAGCCAAAGCCAAGTCTTTAATAGTTATCTTGTTCGTTAAATAGTTTGACTGTAGACTTGCTTGAATGTTGCATGTACATGTAGTATGCTGTGCATTGTTTGAGATGCAGATTACAAGAGTCCATCCTTTACACTTAATCTCACATTTTCAGTATTTCAAGAACACTCGATTAAGTATCAAGGGGTTGAATAACAGATTAAATGAAGCATTACTTGTAATAAAAACATTCAGTTACATTTACGTTAAGTTTATAACACTAAGATCTTTTTACAGCATACACTAAACCAAACTGACATGCAAAGATTTTAAAACTACCGCGTTGCCAATATAAATTGTCTTCTAGCTACAAACATTTTCCTTTTGTTCTCCGGAAAATCTCAAAAATGCCCAACACAGATCCTTTTAACTAAAATTTCTCCAAGCAAGCAATATTCTCCAATCCAGCTTCTAGACCTGTTGATTATTACCCACTGCCAACTATTCAGTCTGACCCTGACCAGACTCCATCCCATTAGTCAGGCCAACAATCATACCAAACAGTAGTCCTTTATGTTTGTCGCTGTCATTACAATATACAGCATTAATTTTCAAGAGCTTAAACTGTACAAATGTATTAAGTACATTGCAACAGCGCTGTACATTCCTAAGACTACATTAATGCTTTAGATTTTTAGAACAGGTATCAATAAAAATCATGTTTGCTACATGTTTTTAGAACCAAAGTTTAAATATTAAAATGCAAAAGGAAATGAAGCCCACCAGTACAATTTGTATTTTTAGCTGACTGGGTAATCCTCACAGAATTTCAGTTTAGTTATAAAAAAGAAATGTAACTGTTCCAACTCATGAGGGAAAACAATGCTTATTGTAGTATAAATGTCTACCCACTTCATGCTGTTATTGAAAGCATGACAATCATCCACTTTTATTTTGGGTTAAATTTAGCTTTCCGTCCCTCATTTTTGTTCAGTGCCATGAGAAACAACTCTTTCTTTAACTAAAGTCCTACCTTGTTCATAAGAGAACAGTTAATACAAGATTCTGCCTATAACAAGGAAATTTTAGGGTCCAGATCCTTTGTTTTTCATTAAGTTTCCTGTTATAACAAGGTAATTGCCAAGTCCAAAGGACCTCTTAACGAGGTTCAACTACAATTGCAGAAATTACAGTAACAAAACAAAGTGGGTGCAGTCTGGAGACATGGATGTAAGTATAAGCACTCAGTGTGGAAGACATTCCTGGATCAAATGTTTAAAACTGCCCAAGTTTCAGAGGCCTAAAGAACTTTTTTTGGAGGAAATACATCCACAGTCTCCAATTAAAGTGAGTGAGTAGTGATAAGATTTCATTAACGATAGGGATGATTGCGCTGCATGCCTTTCTGTGGAGCCATGAAGGAAGGTGCTTTCATGCGTGTTTCAGACTCAGCCCAGTTCTGTCCATTGTAAGTATGACCACCTGTTGGAACAGAAACATGTATCAGTGAGTAAAGACAATCGAACAAGAAATCCCAACTGATGAAACTCAATGGTAACTTGACACATTTTTAGCTTTATCCTTTCCCTGTAATCATTGTTTACAGGTCTTCAATGGTGTCTTTAGTTTTGTAATTTATTTTGAAGGTGGTGAAAATCACTCTCTTATGGTGTCATCAAGTTTATGAGTCACAAATAGCGCTGGTCTACATGATAAAATTGTGACTGTACGATATTCAAAAATTTGGAAAAAAAAATGAAATTGACACTTCAGAAATCTTGCTGATATCCTTCTTTACATCAGCTTTTCCCCCTCAATCCGAGTTTTCTGGGAAACAACTGACCATACATTTTGTTTTAGTTTCCCTGAAAACTTCACTTATTTCCATCAACTGAACAAAACTGACATCATTTTGCAACAGTATGTACATGTACATGTATGTAAGGTAGCCAAATCTATAGCCGAAGCCGTATGATGCATCAACTCAGGTCGTGATTCCATGAACATATACATGTAGTTCAAATAATAGTAAAAATAGAAAAAATGGACGATTTTCCAATCATTTACTAATTTTGCAAAGTTTTGAAGAATGTGTTAGGCATAATAAATATGTCAATGTTAATGATTCTATTATCACTTTCAAGCATAAATCCATCACATGTGCTTGTTACATTTATTCAAAGTTTTTCGTTTCATTCAAACACAAACACCATCATGAAAATGGTACAGTTTCGTTATTACGAAATCTGTGGGACCACGTAGAAACGTTCGTTGTAGGCAAAACGCAGTGCAATGGCTTCGGTTCATTATTGTACAATACCATGTACATGCATATGCACGTGTATGCGTGTATGTGCATACACGTAAACGCGTGGTTGATGTTACATTTATATCAAAAACGATCTCTCGGTTATAATTTTCAAATATATTGTGATGTGATTAGAATAATAAAATTCACTGGCATATGAAAACATGTCTAATGTGCATGTGAGATTAAAAAAAGCAAATACATGTGAACATGGTGAAAGCATCGATCAAGGGATTTTTAAAAGGCTTTTGATCACCATGGATGACGGCGAAGCTAAACAGCATGCACATGTCTGCCTGTGTGTACTTGCATGAATGTGAATACTCATCAACTGGAGCCCCCATCCATGTAAGTAGTCTTTCCAACACAAATTGTGTTTTTTCCATCAAATTTTCCATCTGTCTTATAATTTTCGACACTAGCTGCATGATACGATTGATCGATAATCTGAGTTCACTCGCCCACTGTAGCCGCCCGCACGCGAGATGGTCACTGAAGAAGGATATTGCGATTGGATAGCTGTGTCTTGCAAAATGAACATAATGAAAACACACAGTCTCATTGGCGGGTATGCTAGATCTTTTTGCAGCAATATGAATAATTCAGTGTTGGGCGATTAGTTGGGCGCTTGAGATGTGAGAGTAGTCAAGCGAACTTATTTGGCCGTATTTTTATCAGAATTAGGAAGGGAATTTTTGTTTTGATGTTTGTGTAATCAATGATTTTTGAATCGTGGTTTACGCTTGTCATGACAACAGAAAACTGGCAAACGACGTCTGTGTGTATCGCGTTGTAAGCGTGCGTGACACATCTGAAGGGGGGGATTTAGCCTCATGCTAATTTTGTGGAAACATGCTTATTTTGAGTACACGCAGTACATCTTTAAATTAAATGCATGAACAAAGAAAACACAAACAATGAGATCAACTTTTGAGAATGAACCTGCGGAAAAATTTGTGACGGCAGTACGTGTTTTTTGACTTGCAACTGTAGAGCTCCATTTGCACACGATTTACATGTACATGCAGTGGAACATTCACGACCCTTTTTTGGCAGGAACTGTACCTTGACTAGTTGCCGCATTTCCATCACGCCTTCTTTGGCAACGGTTCGGCCCAGCAGGAACCAGTGTGATGCACTGCGCAAATGTTTTCACCACTATGATTCAACAATGGTTTTTCAGGCAACGGAGTCATGAAAACCATTCCTTGCAACAGGAATTTTGTACAATGCGATTTTGCTGTAGCAGATTTTTTCCCCATAGAAATGTACATGTTTTCGCCGGGACCACAGACTTGTGTTTGTTATAACCGGAATTTCGTTAAGGCCGATTTCGTAATAAGGAGAGTGGACTGTATTCTACTCTGAACTATACTTTTTTCTAATGGTGGAAAGATTGACCTTACCAAATCCTGATGGCCCGAAGTTCTCTTCAGATTCCACACCTTGGAATCCTGCAGAACTAAGGGGAAAACACATACAAATAACATCTCACAATTGGACTTGGATATCCAAGTACTGAACCAAGATTACCTATACAACCCATCTTAACAATATAAAAACACTTTGCAAGGTAATTTAGAAGTGTACATTTCTTAATCACTTCTTTCTTTATCAAAGATGTTGATTAATTATATGGACAGAACATGACTTTCAGACACAAATCTTATTAAAATCTTGGGCAGAAACCACAAAAGAGTTGAGCAGTGTATCACTATTGCAAGTTTTAACAGGTGTACTGTAACAAGCTGAACACACAGGCCTTTTCAACAATTCTCATCCATAGTTTCAGTATAAAATGGCAAGCAATCTCTGAGGAATCTAACTGTACTCTTAAGCCAAGAATTTTCTGCTTTCTGAGAGTCAAATACTGCTTTCCTCTGCTTTCTAAATTTTGTGTACAAAAACTGTATGTGATTGTACTGTAGGCCTACATGTACATTTACCGTACACCTACAGGTATCTTTGGCATAATGATACATGTAGGGCCTACATGCACCATGCCACTGTGATCTTAGACTGGTCCCTGTTCTGGTTGATTTATTCATAAGCTGTGAGACATCTGGGCACTATGTAGGGAATGGGGACCTGTGTGATCTCCGCTGTGCGGAGCCGGAGGAAATCAATACCGAATTCTGCAATATCGCAAAGGATAAACAGGATGGGAAACGCTACCAAATGTTACTTTCACAGTGAGTTAAACAGTGAAAATGAGTTGTCATTCCTTATTTGGGTTCATATTTATTTGATTAATTGAGCAAAAACGAACAAAAATATTTATTTGCTTTATTTTCTTTTACCGAGAATTGCATTTTCCGCCTCCTACCTCCACAAAGCGGAAAACCTCTGGACTTTATTGTACCCAAGAGGGAACTTTATCGGATGATAGTGATGCAGATAATAGAATATTAACATGGCCACATCCAAATCACTTGACTGTACATGTACCTTGGAATTACACACAAGTCTGTGGTTGTGGCTAAAGCCTGTTCCCATCAAGTTTTGTGCAATTTCAAATCACAGCCAAGAGGTTTGGACGCTGCCAAATTTTGAACCTGTGCAGATTCATATTTTAAATATGCTCAATAGTTAATAACATTACTCTAATCAAAAGCAAAAAATATGATTCAAAGATAAAAGTTGGCTCACCTTCCTGAGCTGCAATATCCTTCACCACCTCTCGGGCTGTAACTCTCATACTGTGACAAATGTGAAATGGACACATGTATGTTTATTTAGTGTTTCTGTGACACATGTCCATGTGTTCTGCCCCCACCTTGTCCTACCAGATTATATGTATCATTGCCATCATTCCTAGTACAGTAATCTTTACTCCAAGCTAATTTTGTAACTGCTTTTATGGGCCAGCATAGACAAGGCACCATGTAGCTACACGTAGGTCATTGTTGCCTTCGATCTACATTAGTCAGCTGCATAATTCCTGAATGTAACAATATCTGATGATTTTTGGGACTTTTCCAGGACTCCATAGGACTAGAATTTACATGTACATGTCATTTGACATGTAACCATTTTCCAGAGAAATGTTATGTGGCAATTGAACTGGAAGACTGTCATGGCCACTACTACAGGCTCCAAATTTTACATGAATGCAACCTGTCAAATATAAACCCTTGCATGATCCTGATTTGACCTTTCCATGATTTCTTTCCCTACAACAACAGGATACCAGGACACCCTACATTTTCCCAATTTTTCATGACTTTTGCGACTTAGCAGGGCAACTTTTTTCCAGGATATTCTTTGACCATAGGAACCCTGATTTAACTTCTTACTTTTTCAGAAGTGACTTTCTGGCACTGCTTGTACCGGTACCTGATATTAATTTCAAATGAAATCTTGTAGTTATGAGTACATTTGGTTGCCCTCCCTGTGTATACACTGGATTTAAAACCATGGAAGCAAAGAAGTGAGTCATGCTGACGATACTTGTGCTTGGCCTACTGCGATAAACTCAAAGGTTTCTAGAATGTTTAAAGTACAAATATGCAGACTTCCCGTCTTATCCAATTACATGTGATAATATTTTGATAACTGAATCTCATACACATCTAAATAAGTTGCCATGTTGCTTTAATACTGTGCATGCATCTTAGAGTAGTCACTCAAGAACTACTGGGAAAAGGAAGTCCTGAAAACTAATAACAAGGACAAATATGATTACACGGAATGGCTATGCTTTGGTGTCAATTATCAATCTATAAACAGCAATGCTCTCACCTCCGGCTGTGTGCCTGGTAGTTGAGGCATTCTACTGGAACTGAACTGTGAGGGTTGTTGCTGTTGTGACCTGCCAAATCCTCCTTGGTAGCCACTTCTTGCTGCACCAGGTCCACCCCTCATGGTTGAATTCTGTGTGTTTCCAGGTCCAGAGTAGGACCTACTAGATTCTTGTGGGGCTTGAGGTGGTGATTGGAATCTCCCCTGCACACCAGCTGATGGCCCACTACCACTACCACTTCGTCCCATGTAGCCAGGAGGTGACATGCCCCCTCTAGGACCAGCATATCCTCTACTCACAACCCCACGTCCAAGACCTGGAGGTACCTCAGTGTAGGAACCATTGAGGATTGCCAACTCCTGAAGCTGACTTTGTCTAATTTCATCATTTGGATCCTGTTGAAGAACATGAACTTGTTTCAGAGTAAATTAAATGTTTATTTGTCATAAATAAGCAAAGACTTAGAAAATCACTTAGAGTGATTTTCCTCATAATAAGACGTAACACTGATTGCTCATGGTTCTTTCAGTTGGCTTAATATTTCTGCTTCTGTCATGTAGTGCTTTTTGGGGTGCATCCAATTCAGTTTGTTTAACCCTTAACATCATCAATCCTTCAAAATCCTTTGGATTTTGGAGGATTGAGGCTGCATGGCAAACTTGCATTGCTGATTGAGAAGATGCATTGTGTCAAGGTTGTGGGTTAGACCTTGTGTTGTTTATGTTCAACCATGTGTAAATTAATACCCACATTATATGTGAAATCCTCCATACTGCTCCAGCTAAATATCATCACACTGCCTCAACACAATGACAGGAATTGCAGGAGGAATTTGAAGGATTGAGGCAGTGGGCACCCCTCCACAGAACATATTCAAGAAATATCAGAGGATTTGGAGGATTGAGGCTGTATTCAATTTTTCAATTGGGGCGGTTGGACGATTTTAAACGATTGAGGGTGTATCCTAGCCAAAAGGGCCTAGGCAGTTAGGGTTAATGTGTAGAATGTTTGGACACTTACAGGGATAAGATACTTTCTGAGTTCACACAAACTATGTGCCAGCCTGTTGTATGCCTCGGAAGCAGTAGCAAAGACTTCCACTAAGACATGCAGCTCTTCATTCAAATGAGCATTCTTCTCAGCTCCTTCTACACGAAGATCTTCTTCCTGGGAAAAATACACGTTCAAAGACAAGTTCAAATTACAGATAGGTGTCTGTCTAAACCCCAGTTTAGTTTAAATCTTTGCTCTGCTGGTAGCAACATTTGCGTGTTATTCAGTGGCCTGCCAGACAGAAAGGATGAAGGACCAACATATGTGTCTGACACATACTTGATAAAAAGTTTGAAACTAGTTGCTTATGAGTACATGTATACCATGGGTAGCTACTACACTGTAATGTATGGAAAATATCTAGCCTGTTTACCGTCTTTATTATTCCATAAAATTTCAAAACCAGAATTGCTCAATTCAATTTGCATTAAGCTGCTACGGCCATGAGATGGCACTTGGACACAAATACAGACACATATAACTTGCAGTTCACAATGTATTTGTACAGAAATAATATTAAACAAAAAAGAAATAACTTCCAACAATCCTGAAGTATCTGACAAGCTCATCTCTATGAGACCCTTTTCTGAATCATACCTGCCAACAATGAAGTCAGGAATCAGAATATCCACTGTAGAAGCCTACTGCTAAACAAGCACCTGTGCTACAGAAGCTATGTGTATTTAAATGCACATAATACAACTGCTCTCTTGACAAAGGAAAATGGAGCCTTCTTCTTTTGCACAAAGTACCCTCTCTTTGGGGAAATAGTGCCCTCTTTTGCAAAGAGTGCCCTCTTTTTTGGGGGGGAAATAGTGTCCTCTTTTGCAAACACCTCTTTATGAAAGTATATTTTTTGCTTTTTTATGGAAACCATTATGACTTTTAGACCTTTGAACACTTGGAAACTGGGAACAGTCCCAATTCAATCATTGGCAGGTATATCAACTAACTCGGCTTCTTATCTCTATATGACCCTTATCATAGCATCTTACCTTCTTCTTATCTCTCTGTGACCCTTTTCCCAGGATCGACATCCGTGTTCGTGTTGTGTCTTGCAGACGTTTCAGTGTGTGGCCTTTGGGTCCCAAAAGTTTGCCAACAAAGTTGAACTAATGTGAAGGAAATAATGAAATTGCATACTTGAATTCTTTTCTCTGGTGCTTTTGCCATTTGCTGTAAATAAAAGTGTTACACTTGCAACAGAGTTATATCAGGGAACAGTCGGTATTTTATGGCGCCCATGCGCTTTCCAGTGAGATGTCAAATTATTTAAGAAAATAAAGTGGGTATCAAACTTTTATTAGGTTAGCGTCACTTAAAATGGACTTCTGAATGATTCCAGTTCACAATCAGTAATTTGTCATGAGAAATTTGCAGCTTTAATCATTCCTCTCTTGGATATTTCTCAGGGGTCGAAATTAACGGTGGTCCGCTTGCCCCAGGTCAGTAGAAAAGTCTGGTCCCAGGCATTTAAAAAGCAGCTTGTAAAGCCACATACTTCAGACCTACACGTGACTGGAACCAGTGAAACAGAAGTCTAAGCCTGATATCCACTTGTGTTGTAAATGCCCCTACACTGTACACTGCAAGAAGTTATCCGGAATATTAACATGTAGGCCCCCTGACAAGGATTGCTTCATGCCCTGTGTGTGCCATTCTAGTAGGACCACCAAACTCTCAGCAGGACCAGTGGAAATTTTGAAGTACTGATCCTGCTGGCTACCAAGAAGAAAAAGTTAATTTTGACCCCTGATTGCTATAACCAAGTTACATGGACATGTACCAGTAAAAGAACTTGTACATTCTAATAATCAATGATCACTTGGGATAACAAAGTTAAAAATAAAATCAGGATGTATGCACCAACCGTTGGGTGTTCTTCAGCTGGGATTCGTACTCTTACTTCTAACTTGACTGGCTTATCTGTCATAATGTCTATAAATTTGGGTGGCTTTACAACTCCCAACTCCAGGTTCTTTATTTCTGCAAGAGTTGTGCAAAAGGTTTGGTAAAATGATAAATATGTGACTACGTTAACATATGTTTCAGCTATTCAAACAGTGGTCACATTTATATGCATTAGCAAATAAAAATCATTTTCTTACTTTTACTTTTTGATTAGTGAAAAATGATTTCTGAAAATGTCTCACAAGAAATTTAAATCAAATACTACATCTACAGAATTCTCATTACTGCATGTATGTTCTTAAATACAGTAAGACGGTCTAGTCTTTATTGTTTTCATTGTGGGAGGACAGGATTTTTTTTCAGCCAGGAAAAATCACTCATGAATGAATATCACCATTCTGTGATATTTGGATTTCAAATCGGAAGTGATATATCGCAAAGATTATGAGATCAACTACAGAATTCTCTGATTTTGTGAATCTGCAAATCTTCTGAAAATGTGAAAGGTTTGGCTTGTTCCATCCAAGATAAGAAACGTTGGGAACGCTCTCCTGCTGTCATGCCCTACTTTTGTCCTCTTGCACATCTGTAGGCTGATACTTATGAGTATATACAAGTACTTGTGGGATAAAAGCTAACAGCTGCAGTAGTGAAACTATTGGAAGACGTGGGTTGCCAATAACCTAAACTAAAAGATTAAATCAATGCTGATTGGGGTACATTTACAGGTACTTCACTCAAGAGTTCCACTTCCTCAATTAAATCTTCCCCCGAAAAGCCGTCCAAACTGATGCACATCTCTTTAAATCTTATGACAAGGTTTTAAGATGAAACAACTGTCTATTTCTCATGTTTTTTTGGAAATAAAAAAAAGCTGTGACCTACCGTCTCACTCTCCTGATGTTGATGATCCAGACACATTGCACATTTGCATATGAAGTGCTTGGAGTGTTTTGTTGATTATTGTCAGGAGAATGAGAAGTTGGTGAGTAAAAGGTCTGCATTTTTCAAGAAATAGTCACACGGTTTAAAACCCCCCCAAAGTGAAATGCATCAGTTTGGATTGCTTTTTGGGAAAGATTACTAGCAGTGACTTGCAGTTCTGTAATGCACCTATTAACTGTAGTCACGGCCCCAGGAGACCCGGGACTACCTGGGATTTAGCTGGGGAGTATAAATTGACCCAGAGTGGTAGCCTGGGCCAAATGGCCATGTCCCCATCATCTTCCCCACTGAGCAGGCATTTTTTTCCTTACAACCCTGCCATGTGGGGCATTACTGGCCAGTACATTGTGCAGGCGAAATGCGCTGAGGAGTACAGCCAAAATGCACTTCGAGTAGAGGGTGCTACATGTACATATTAACAAGAGATGAACTGCCAGAAAACTAGTCTTGTAGAATCTGGCAGGCCTAACCGTAAAATTCTGAGTATATCTCAAGCGCTAAAATTATCACCGAATAATTGCACCAGCACACTGCTGAAAACCAGTCAACATGATGGGCAGTCTTTGGCAGTGCACATAATTATCCATGAACTTGAGTGTGTGAGATATGCTCAGAATTGTTCGGGTAAGCCTGCCAGGTTCTACAAGACTGGTTTTCTGGCAGTTTGTCTAAAAAAGCCCTCTATTGGTAGTGTGATTTGGCTGTACTCACCAGTGCATTTCGCCTGCGAGAGGCACTAGCCAAACAGTAAACATGGTAAAACCAGTCTTGGGGCAAAACTAGGACAGTCCCTGAGTTGCCATGTTCGTCTCTATACTGCCGGGTATGTCTCAGCTACTTTTTCGAAAGTCCTGGGTCACACAGGGCCAAGACTACAATTGCAAGATGCATGAGTACATAGACAAGTGGCTGTCCATCAATGTACAGACTATTTAGTACACATAGAAAGAGTTCCACATACAGACAATACTTGATGCCACTTTGCATAAACATATCAGATTTCTTTGAAAAACTGTTTTCTAAAGAAATGCTTCAGAATTTTCTCAGCTTCATGTATGTATGTATATTTGTAAATTTTATTTTTTGGGACATCTTATCACTTTCTGATGGCTGTTATAACATTTTAAGGGAAAATGAGTGTTGTTCGCATATGGAACTCTCACCGTACAGATGTACACGACAAATGTACCAAAAAGTACATGTACATGTAGTTTAAGTACTAAGTTTCCCCTAAAATCTTATAACATTTGCCAGACTGTGATAGAATGTCCTAAAAAGTGAAATTTACATGTAGCTGAGAAAATTCCAAACATTTTGACCTAGGCGTACATGTACTCAGAAAACAGTTAATTTTTTAAGACAAGTTTCACACAATATAGGTTTGTGAACAAGGGCATCAAGTGTTGTCCTTATACTGTACATGTATAACTCTTTCTGTTTTGAGAATTAGTGTCTATGCAAAACATATGCTACGGCTAGTCTGAGTAACTGTGACTCTACAAATTGCCTTTTTTAACAGTTGGACATGGTTGGGCGATAGTAGAGTCCAAGTACATGTACCTTCTGCATACTTTTGCTTCCATTATTTAATTTCCCTCTTAATAGCTCACACCCCTAACCAAAATCCTCTGAATTCACCTCCAAAATGATCCTTAAACTGTCTCATATGCCTGGCTAAGGATTAAATGAGAATCATTTAACATTTTACAACCCCAGCCAAGTCCCTGCTATCGTCCTGGATCAGCGGGGTAGCAATTGTACAACCCCGGCCAAGTCCCTGCTATCATCCCGGCCGGCGGGGCACCTTTTTTCCGGACATCCCTGAGTATGTCCCCGCTACATTTTTTAAAGTCCCAGGTCCCCCGGGGCCGGGATTACAATTGACAGGTGCAAAAAACATGAAAAAAGTGCTGGAAGTGAGCAATGACTGACTGATACGGCCTATGCCTCATACTGCTATGAATGAGGCAGCGCGGACATCCAGGACTCTTGCACAATGACTAGTAACAGATGAAAACAGCAACCATGGCGACGTAAACTGTACATGAGCACCAGCCAGTCAGCATGGTCAGACATATGTCAGAGGTTTGGATTAGCCTATGCAATCTTTCCTGAGTATAGATCAAGCAGATTTGCTGACGTGACAGGGGAAAATTTGGTTAAGGCCTAGGGCTGCAAACTATTTCACCACAAACGTTCGATTCCAAAACCCACAGCGTTACGACGCCATGTAAACCTTCTTGCCTCGAAGGCACACGGAGTATCACGGAGTTAGTGACTTCGAGTTCTGGAAGTAGACCGCGTAATGAAACCTAAAGGGTATCGTTTTGTCCGAAAAGTGGGCATTGACATTTGAGTTATTTATTCTCACCATCATTTACGAGTTTTGCAGCATAAGGACACTCTAACGAGTCGCTGTCCAACACTTCCTTGTCTGCTCTTAGTTGTTTCAGACGAACAGATCTGTCCTGTGGCGTTTCCATTCTGAAACGATTTCGAAGGTTGACGTAGGTAAAGTTTTTTCGTGGTTTTCTTCCACAGCTAGCGTTGCACAAATCAGTAGAGAGCACGCATACGTATCTTGGACTATGCCTTATCACTGGTGACCACCACAAGAGTGCATATCATATTGTATTATTACACATTGAAGGATACCAGTATGTACATACGCGCGCGAGGCCTGAGGTTGCATTACGTACAGTACATGTACATGTACATGTACTGTACATATAGTTGCACTACACCAAATACGCGATCATAGAAAACAGTGCAAAATCTGACTGAAATAGCGCCGCCTGTTGATTCTTGAGAAAAGGTTGGTTTCCGTTTTTCCACTGGAAATTCAAGATTATGGCCACGAGATCACTTTTCGTTTAAAATTTATGGGCCTAGCCACGAATTTTTCTTATTCAAAACTATGTGCTCAGCTCTGAATGTAGCCGCCCGTCTCTATCCGAAGAACTTGGACCGCAATGTGGGGCTTTGGGGGTACTGTTTTGGGCTACCATTCCCAAATTTAACATTTACGTTTTTTCATTTTTCGGGATGCATACAAATTACAGCCAAGAAAGTTACATATACATGCATATACAAATACAAACATTACAAAGGGACAAAATCAATAAAAAATACACAATATCCACCTAGCTCCCGATGGGTTGCCTAAAAGAAACAAGTTTTTGTCGAGAGGCTCTCCAAACTAATTGGATTATACATGTAGAATTCTTTGTGTAAATATTGATGTACCATCTTAACAGGGACACAATTTTCAGTGAAATAAAATATACAAGTTCTTGACATGACATGTAAATATTAAACTGAACATAATGTTTGCAATTAAAAGGAGAATAAATAATTGAAGTAAATAAAATTAAAGTGACCAATTTAGATAGCAAAATAAATATGAACAGTACAAACGGGTATCAATATTAATCGAAATCCAGTTTACAAAGCATTGCTCATGCATAAAATTCTAATTACATCTAATACCGAGAAAATTCAGCTTAAATCTAATACTCCTCAGTTCTGCACCTGTCCAAGGTGTGAGGAGTGTTTGGGTTGATTTACTGAAATGTAATTAGATAATTGCATTAAGAGTGTTCTGGGGACAAGTGAAATGGGGTCTAGGCTGAAGAGATAATCTCGTAAAGAATTGATGAAAGGTTTCAAAGAAGGTTCGAGACAAAGGTCCCGAATGTCAGCAGAGAGTAAGTTAAAGTACATGGGAAAGAAGATAAACAGAGAAAATTTGGAACAGTTAGTACAACTGTATTGGTGCTTGAGTAACAAAGTGCTTGGTTTTCCTGGTGTTGATCTACAGGAGAAATTCGGAAGAAAGAGAAACCTGTTTGTAGAGGCATTTGACAACAAATGAGATACTGAGGTAGGGTAGGTGATTGTACAAAGGAGGCAATTGAAGCTTGGCAAGACATTGTTGATAGGTAAGAGAAATAGGAACATTGTAAGGAAGGCAAGATTTAGTGAAGCGGCGTTGGATTCGGTTTCAAGACATTGAATGTAGTTTTTCTGGTGGGGTAGCCACACTGCTGAGCCGTATTCCAAGATTGATCTACAGAGAGAACAGTATAATTTGAGTAAGACACCGGCATTTCTGGATTTTACAATACATCTTAAGATACCAGCAAGTCTGGAACACTTTCTGCGAATGGTGTCTACATGTTTGGTCCAGGTGAGGTCATTTGAAATAGTGATGGCAAGATATTTGCCTGAAGCACGCATGTGGAATGTTGGAAAACCCTTCAACTATTTCTTGAATATGGGGAAACGTTAGTTCGTACACGGTTCGTATGTTGTCTTACTCTGTGGTTGACAATGCAAAAGGTTTGGAATTTCTATAAAAGCCGTATAGCTGGGTTTTTGTGTCCATGTATTTGTATGTAAAGCGGCTTTACATGCCAGAAGTTTGGCTTTCTTGCGTTAATGGTTTGGAGATGCACTTGAGCACATCTGGTTGGAACTCTCAGAGGGGCTTGACCTATAATTTATACAGAAGGGGGTGATGAAAAACCCAAGGCGAGGGTCTGTTTTGCTGCATTGACTGGTGAGTTTAAAATTATCTCAGGGGTCATTTTAAAGAGTTATTCTGGAGGTTGCAATAGTGTATTACATTTGCAAATTTGCAAACAGGTTTAGTTAAGGTTTGGCGTATTCAGAACCCATAATGTCACAGATACTCCTAGAAATAGCATAGTACTTGGTTCGATTTGTTAAAATCTGTTCTTACATAAGTTTGTAAATTGCGATATTATACTGGCTACAAGCCAGATCATTTCTGATATTTAGTTTGACTTTAGTGAAATGGAACATGGTAGTGGTTACTGGAAGTTCAGTCATTCTCTGTTGCAGTGGTGTATCCAGGCTCTTCGCTTGGGATAGGCGAGGTTCCACAGGCCGTTGTTGGGCACACCCTTGCCCTCCGCTCTTGTCTAACGGCGGCCCTTTCAAGAAGCTTTGTAAAATAGATTTCTTCCAACCATTTTAAAAATGTTCATTTTATAATTAATAATGAAGATTGCTTGAGAATTAGATCTTAAACTATATCTCACTCTGTGTACAAATGTTCAAGAAATGAGTTTTTTTTAGAGGAGATTGGAATTTCATCTAAAAAGGTTGCCGGAGTCAGCCTATAAGTGCCAACAGGCTCACTACATTTATCTCCGTTGATTCAAACGGGAGAGTGTGTCAACAAAGGATACAGCACGCTGGGTGGAATGTAAAATCCCTCTAAGTGTATGAGTTCGTAAAAGTTCAGTCCATAATTGTGTCGTTGACAATGCAAATTCCAGGCTTGGAATCTCTATAAAACGCTATAGCTCGGTTCTCTGCGCCCACGGATTTATATGTAAAGTGGCTTTACGTGCAATATGTTTTGACTTGTTTTTCTTTTTGCTTAACAGTTTGGAGATTCCTATGTGCACATCTGGTTTGAACTCTGTGAGCGGTATCGCCCTGTAATTCAAATTTACATACGGAGGGAGGAAAGTCCAAGGCAAGGCTCTATTTTGCTGCATTGACGGGTGAGTTTGCCCGTAATTTGTAGGGTGTTGTACATAAATTTGCAAATCTGTGTTGTACTAACGAGCAGTTATAACTTTACATGTGTGGCGGCCTAGAATGCGCATTATCAGTGGAATTGGTGACGTGTAGAGCTCAAGCATGTTGCATAATTACCGTACGGAAAGTATTTTGTTGAATTTATTAATGTAAATTTAAGTACATAAATGTTTATTAATCAAATTAATTTTTTGTCAAGGGGTCGTTTGTAGGTGATGACTACAATTACCAAAATGATCTCTGTCACAACCACAAAATGCAGGAATCATTTCAAACTTAGGCTACAGTGTTTTGCATTTGTGAGTCCTGTATCACATTTGGTGCAATCATGGCAAAGCTTAGATTGTGAACGTGTAGCTGTGAATTCAAATGTTTTCGATGGAAACGTTTCTGCCAAGGTTTTCAGAAGCGGTTGCAATACTGCATATGACTTGATAAAAAGATTTTAAACATTTTCCACTTAAATTGTGAATGAAACTTGACTAAATGACCCACCACTTGAAAGAGGATTAGATTCAGTTAACCCTAACCCCCAAGGTAGGCCTATGTAAACTCGTATTGAAATTGGAGGATTTGGGACTAGTAGGGTAACGTTAATGTGTGGTGTTTTTAGAACCGAGAACGTCAAAGTAATTCCTGGAGATACATTTTCAAACAAACAATCAAGGATGGATTTGTTAAACATTTCTTTGGAGCGTCGTACTGTGGTAGTAAGCTGTTAGAATAACTGGGCTACAGAATAGATCATACGCTTGAACGTCACTGTGCAGTTCCGAGGAAACGTTTCAGCAAATACATCCTAGAATTCCTTTTGCATATTTTTGGTTGTGATAATAAACCTGGCTACAAAACGGATAATTCCTTAATTGATATTAATTTTTACTTGAGTGAATTGGAACATTAAAGTGGTTACTGGAAGTTCAATAATTCTCTGTCGCAGTGGTGTAGTGGGACTTTTGGGGACTGAGTTGTCCCCTTTCCCCTCGGTCAAGCTACTGCGTTGTTGGCTGATAATATAACCAATTAAGGGTTGAGACTAGTTATTAAAAAGATAGTTGAGGAATATGTTACTTCTCCTAACTATTGCATTAAGCTTAAGAACATCTGTCCTTTGACGTTCATTTTACCATAATGGTGATAATGAATATTCGAGATTATTTCAGTAACAATATCTTAGTCTGTTTGGGAAAAAGAGAGCTCGAGAAATTAAAATTTTGGAGAAGGAGCTCGACATTTCATCCAAAAAAGTTGCCGAAGGAGACTAAAAGTTGGTCGATATCTTAATCCTAAACAGGGTGACATCGTCGATATCCGTAAAATCAATATGGAGTGTGTGTTTACAAGGACTTGAATACGCTAAATGTAATGTTGGAAAGCTACGTATTTCTTGGATGGGGAAAAACGTAAGTTCGTATAAATTGAGTCACACTGAGTCGTTGACAATGTAAATTCCAGACTTGGGAATTTCTATAAAACCCTGTTCTTCTTGGAATGGTAACAGTCTGTTAATCTATGTTCCAACTGTGAAAGAGCAGGTAGGCCTGTTTTGTCTGACTTAATGCGGAAAAGCAAGAAAGGTCCTTTGTCGTATAATATACTAAACAACAGTATAAGAATTGCAAATCGGCAATTTGTAATGGTTTCGCGTTCCGGTTTTGAACTTTTACAAATTTTTGTACGTCGTTTCATCATGTTTCCGTTGCAATAATTTGATTTTACTTTTAGGGCCAGTTATCAGTCACTCAGAAATGCGATGTCCTTACGTTGTTGCCGAAAGGGGACAAACCCCGTCAATTGGTGAAAAATAGGCGTCCTGTATTTTGGTCACATGATCTTACAAACTGCGTCTTCGGGCCTCTCAAGAGATTAAAATCTGATTTGACACATCGTTACTTTGTTTCTTTCTACGCAAAGTTTGGTCCCTATGTGAATTATTAATTGCAAAATTTGTTGTTACATGCAACGAATCAAAGAGATGTTTTCTTCTTGAATGAACTTGAAACGAGGGAGCAGCGCTGGTGAGAAACATACCGAATATTGAGTAAAAATAATGTCTTCATCAATATTGTCGTCTGCTTCCTTTCGCTTGCCTAGGTCAGATGAAGTAACCGTTTCTCGTTCTTCGTTTTTGTGGACCACTCTCGACATATTCCTGGTCATTGTGTTTCCGTCAAAAACATTTTTTTTGTTTAGAGGTCGCCAAAACACGCCCCAGGTTCCTCTCTCCATTACGTTAAATGTCATGTCCATATTTGTTGTCATTACGGAAGTATCCGCAAAGAAGGATATTGTCATACTGCCTCCTGTTTTCAAATTCCCCTAAGTCCACACTTTATGGGCCAAATCCCGCGAAATGTTGGGTCCCTAGGTGTGAATATCAAAACTCTGGTAATCCTCCGAAGTTGGAAATCGTGGTGTCACCAGGAATGGCACATGTTCCTCGCTCCATTGCAGCAAGTATGTCCATGGATTTATCCGAAAAAGAAGGCAATTATCGTACTGTTTCCTATTTTCAGGGTCTCTTCCTGCGTGGATGTAGATGCCTAGCATAAAATGTCTGAAAATTGTGGCAATTGTGGTGTCATCGGAAACGCTACATGCTCCTTTCTTCATTTTGTCATGAAATATCTGAAAAGAAGGCAGTAGTTGGTACAATTAAGTTTCATTTTTTTGATTTTATTTTTGTCCTCATGTTACTGTTCCTGTTCCCGCGAAAAGTCAGGTATATTTGAACTCAAAATGCCTGAAATTGTCCAAATCTCAAAAACATGGTGTCATCGGGAAGGGTACAAATTCTGCCCTCCCTGGCAGCAATTTTAAGTCCCCAACTTTCCTGGTTTTGGAGAAACATTTCGTTGTTGTTTCGTAGGTGTGTGCCAATTACCATTTGTATGCTTGTCATACAGGCACTTGGATTCCTTGGTTAGCTGTTTGATAAAAAAATCTCGAATTTTCTGTGTTTTTTTGAGAAAAGTTGAGTTGTGCAGTGATGTTGTATTTGTGTTTCGTAGTTCTGTTAAAAACTAGGAATTGTAAAATTACACTTTGTATGTGAAACGCATTCTTTTAATTACTCACTTCAGAGAAATCTTTCTCATCGTTTTGGTGTATGCTCTGATTCTGTCACACTGGGTATGACAAATATGTACTTGTAGGTCCAACCTTGATTTCAATTTGACAGAGACAGGATGACAACTTATCAGTGCATCAATGTTAAGCCCACACTGGGACCCTGATTAAGGAAAAACAAGAAATTTGCACAAAGTTGAAGCCAACCAGAATATTCACGAGACAAAAATAAATTGCTTCCTCAGCCAAGTCTGAGGTCTGCAGGATAATCGAGTTTTCTGTGTACTGTGTACCGCAGATTCAATCAACCCCTAAAAGGCCTAAATAACATTCAGCTTGACTGTGTACATTCACACGTACACGACATATTTTTGTATATTATTCGAAAGCTGATTAGTTGGGCTACGACATGAAATTATCAAAAAGTCTCCAATCTGTCTGGTTGTTAAGAAAACGTCGATTGAGCAGTGATGTTTTGTTGCTGTTTCGTAGTTGTGCATACTTGCCCCTTTGTATGCTTGTCAAACTGGCACTTGTATTCCTCAGAGAATTTCTCTTTTAAAAATCTTGCCTCCTCTGTAACCAGGATTTCTTTGGTTATCTACACCCCAGGGAAGGTTTCCTTACCTACGCTATTGATTTCACCATTTGTTAACACTGCAGGTGCAGCCTGCCCACACATCGTCTCTCTGTCTGCCGGATCTCCTTTTCCAGAAACCCGGGCTGGAGGGAACCGAAATAAACTGCCAATGCGGTATCGTATTTCATTCGTGGACTGAGACATTCATGCATTGCAGTAGAGCGTCTTTAATTAAAGGACAATGTTAGTCTATCCAAAGACGTAGGTTTCATATCCATTGTTAATGTAGTTAGGGAAATATCCCTGAAAAGATTCGGAAGTTCTTGTGCTACGACTGTCTAGTTTTGTGCAATTCTACATAAAAATTTTGTCGGGTCGCGTACCGCAAAGATATCTGCATATATTGGAGCATAGATGACTAGAAGATTATCCAAATCTGCAAACCGTTGTGGCATCTGAACGGGAACTTACTCCTTTATCCAATGGTGTGTCATATTCATACTCTATGTAGTAAGGGAAATATCCGCGAAAGAAGTCGAGAGTTCTTGTCCTATTTCTTCCTGTTTTTGTGCTATTCCGCATTTCTTCGTACTTCAGTGGTCCTGTTCCCGTGCAAAGATGTCTGCATATATTCGTAAAAAACCTCAAAAACTGTCCACATCTGCCAATTGTGGTGGCATCTGGAAGGGCACATGTTCCTCTGTCCAATGTTGTAAGTTTCATATCCATATTTTATGTAGTTAATGAAATATACCCAAAAGAAGGCAGGCTTTCTTGTGCTACTCTTAGTTATTTTGAGTACTTCCACATTTTCCCCGTCCTGTTCCTGCTTAAAGATGCCTCCATACATTGGAGCAGAAATTACCTGAGCATTGTCCACATGTAGCAAACTTGCTGGCATCAGAAAGAGTACATGTTCCTGTATCCAATGATGTAAGTGTGATATCCATATTTCATGTAATTAGGGATATATCCGCAAAAGAAGGCAAAAGTTCATGACCTGCTAGCTCATTCTTTGGAATTGAACATTTGCTCACACGTTACAGTTCGTATTCCTGCGCAGAGATGTCAACGTATATTTGAGTTTTTGTCCTACTTCTTGCTATTTTTGTGCAATTATCCATTTGTTTGCATGTTGAAGGTCCTGTTCCCCCGCAAAGATGGGTCCATATATTGGATTATAAAAAACCTGAAAATTGTCCAAATCTGGCAATCATGGTGGCATCTGAAAGGGAAAATATTTGCCCACACGTTACAGTTCGTATTCCTGCGCAGAGATGTCAACGTATATTTGAGTTCTTGTCCTACTTCTTGCTATTTTTTTATTTAGCAAAAACATACACACGAAAGAAGGCCGGAGTTCATGTGCTATTGCTTGCAATTTTCCCATTGTCTGCACATTACAGGTCCTGTTCCCGCCCAAATGTGGCTCCACATATCGCATCATAAAATACCTGAACAACAACGAAATCAGGCAATCCTGGTATCAGCTGAAAGGGCAAATGTCTTTCTATCCATTGATGTAAGATGTATATCCATATTTGATTAGTGGTTCTGATCTTACTGGCCGCTATTTTTCTGGAATTCCCTCTTTATCTGTACATTTTCCCCGTTCCTGAGCAAAGATGGTTCCATATATTGCATCATAAAAGACCTGACCATTGTCCAAATCTGGCAATCTTGATTTCATCTGAAAGGGAAAATATCCCTCTATCCATTGATGTAAGTTTCATATCCATAATTGTCTAAGTTAGGAGAATATCCTCGAAAGAAGGTAGAGGTTTTGCTTTTACTGCTCGCTATTTTTGTGGAGTTCCCACTTCATCTGCACATTATTATTTTTGGTCCCCTGCAAAGATGGTTCCATATATCACATCATAAAAGACCTGAAAATTGTCCAAATCTGGCAATCCTGAAGGCATCTAAATGGAAAAGTGTCATTCTGTCTATTGGTGTAAGTTTTACATCCATATTTGTTTACTAAGGAAAATATGTGCGAAACAAGGCAGGATTCCTTGTACTTCTGCTTTCTATTTTTCTGCAATTCTCCATTTGTCTGCACATTACAGGTCTTGTTCCAGCGCAATGATGGTTCCACATATTGCATCATAAAAAACCTGAAAAACATCAAAATCTGGAAATCCTGCTTTCATCTGAAAGGGAAAACATCTTTCTATCCGTTGATGTAACTTGTATATCCAATTTGTTTTAGCTAGAAAAATATCCGCGAAAGAAGGCAAAAGTTCTGATCTTACTGAGCGGCTATTTTTCAGGAATTCCCTCTTCATTTTCACATTGTTTTTCCCGTTCCCGCGCTAATAATGGTTCCATATATTGCATCATAAAAGACCTGAAAATTGTCCAAATCTGGCAACCCTGGTTTCATCTGAAAGCGAAAATGTCCCTCTATCCATTAATGTGAGTTTCATAGCCAAATTTGTTGTAGTTAGGGAAATATCTGCAAAAGAATTCGAGAGATTTTGTCCAACTGCTTCTTGAAGTAATTCTGACTTTGAAGTACACCGGTCCTCTCCCGCCTAGACCATTCTCCATATATTCGAGCATCAAAGGTCTAAAAAACTTTTAAATCTGGCAACCGTGGTGTCGTCTGAAAGGGCACATGTTCCTTTATCCATTCATGCAAGTTTCATATCCATATTTGCTATAGTTAGGGAAATATCTTCGAAAGAAAGTGTGAGTTCTTGTCCAACTTCTTCCTATTTTTGCATAATTCTGATTCAGTCTGCGTTCTACCGGTCCTGTTCCCGTGGAAAGAAGGTTGGATATATTCGAGCATAAAAGGTCTAAAAATTGTCAAAATCTGGCAAACGTGGTGTCATCTGAAAGGGACTATGTTCCCCTATTCTTTCATTGAACCTTCATATCCTTATTTGCTGGAGTTAGGGAAATATATTTCAAAGGAAGTGCGAGGTCTTGTCCAATCGCCTCGTTGTCTGCTAATTCTGATTTTGTCTGCGCTATACTGGTCCTGTTCCCGCACAGGGAATGCTCTATACATTCGAGCATAGAATGTCTAAATATTGTCAAAATCTGGCAATCATGGTATAATCTCAAAGGGCACATGTTCATATTTGCTGTTGTTAGGGAAATATCTTCAAAAGAAAGTGCGATTTTTTGTCCAACTTCTTTTGCTTAACTCTGACTCTGCCTGCGCTATATGGTCGTGTTGCAGCATAGCGGGTGCTCCATATATTCGAGCATAAAAGGTCGAAAATTTGTCTGAATCTGGTAATCGTGGTGTCATGTCAAAGGGCATATGGTACTCTATCATGTCATGTAAGTTTCATATCTTTATTTGGTGTAGTTAGGGAAATGTCTTCAACAGAAAATGCGAGTTCTCGTCGAACTGCCTCTTATTTTTGTCTGCGCTATACCGGACCTGTTCCCACGAAAAGAAGCCTCCACATATTCGAGCATAAAAGGACTAAAAATTTTCTAATTCTTCCAATTGTGGTGTCATCTAAAAGGACGTGTATCCATTCATTTACGTTTCGTATCCATGTTTGCTCTAGTTAGGGAAATATCTTAAAAAAGGTGCGAGTTCTGGTCCAATTGCCTCTTATTTATGCTTAATTCTGAGTGTGATCTGATGGGGCACATGTTCTTCTATTCATATTTGCAGGAAATATCTTCAAAAGAAAGTGCGACGTCTGGTCCAACCGCCTCTTATTTTTGCGTAATTCGGACTCCCTCTCCCCTCCTCCACAGAGAAGGCTCCATATATTCGAGCGTAAAATCTGTAAAACTTGTCTAAGTGTAATCTGAAAGGGCCAATGTTTCTGTATTCATTCATATGAATTTCATATCCATATTTGCAGTACTTGGGGAAATATCTACAAAAGAAAGTGCAAGATCTTGTCCAACTGCTTCCTATTTTTGCGTAATTCCGACTTCCCCTGCGCTATATCGGTCCTTTTTCCGCACATAGAAGGCTTCATATATTCGTGGTGTCATCTAAAAAGGGCTCATGTTCCTCCAGCCATCCATGTAGGTTTTATATCCATATTTACAGTAGTTAGGGAAATATCTTCAAAAGTAAGTTCTTGTCGAATTGCCTCGTACCTTTTGCTTAATTGTGAATCCGTCTTCCCTATAGGGTCCAGTTCCCGCGGAAAGAGGGCTCCATATATAGAGCATAAATGGTCTCCAAATTGTCAAAATCTGCCAAACGTTGTGTCACCTGAAAGGGCACATGCTCCTCTATCCATTAATATCAGTTTCATATCCACATTTGCAGTAGTTGGGGAAATATTTTCAAAAGGAAGTGCGAGTTCTTGTCAAATTGCTTCTTTTTTGCGTGATTTTGACTGCCCCTGCGCAATATCGGTCCCGTTCCCGCGCAAGGAGACTACATATATTCGAGCATAAATGGCTTCTAAATTGTCGAAATCTAAAAAATTTGGTGCAGTCTTGGTGTCATCTGAAAGGGCACATGTTCTGCTATCTATTCATATAAGTTTGATATGCATATCTGCAGTAGTTATCGAAATATCAGGAAAAGGAAGTGCGGGTTCTTGTCTGACTGCCTCCTATGTTTGCGGAATTCTGGCTTAGTCTGCGTTATACCGGTCCCGTACAGAGAATGCTTCATATATTCCAGCATAAAAGGTCTAACAATTATCCCAATCTTGCAATGTAGGTGTCATCAGAAAGGGCACACATTTCCCTTTTCATTCATGTAAGTCCCATATCCATATTTGCTGTAGCTAGGGAAATATCTGCAACAGGAAGTGCAGGTTCTTGTCTGTCTGCTTTATACATTTGGGTAATTGTTACTTAGCGGTACGCCGGGTTCTGTACTCGCGAGAGAATGCATGTTGTAGATTGTAAGGTCTCAATGTCATCTAAATCTTGCCGTCAAGGTGTCATATGAAAGGTCACAGGTTTCTTAATCCATTCATATAAGTTTCTTATCCATATTTGCAGTAGTTAGGGAAATATCAGCAAAAGGAAGTGCGAGTTCTTTTCCAACTGCCTCCTATGTTTGTGGAATTCTGGCTTAGTCTGCGTTATACCGGTCCCGCACAGAGAATGCTTCATATATTCCAGCATAAAAGGTCTAAGAATTATCTCAATCTTGCAATGTAGGTGTCATCAGAAAGGGCACAAATTTCACTTTTCATTCATGTAAGTTCCATATCCATATTTGCTCTAGCTAGGGAAATA